ACTAATAACTATTATATATTATTATTATTAATAATATAATATATATATATATATATATATATATATATATATATATATATATATATGTGAAAACTTGAAAATCTTGAAAATTGACAGTCAGAAAATGTAATACAAAATACACTATTTCCAAAACTTGAAATCAATTTTTTTCACATGTCCATGCATCTTGATGCCGTGATGATCAATTGAGGATTTTTTAACATCAAAACAATCTCATCTAGTGAAATTTTTGAGGTAGGCTCTATGATTGTTCAGATCCTCGGCTCTATATAAACTTCTCCCTTTTTTAAAGGGCTGGAAAATCACAAATTTTCTAACCCTTTCACATTTATCGAATGGGGCACTGCTACTTTCAGCTACGAGGAAAACATGCTATTTCATGGCTGGGGGTGTTGAAATTTGTATATCATTGTGTAATGGGAAAATATCATTTACAAGGTCGAAACCTCTTTACAAAATCATTTAGGAGATCAAAACATCCCTATTAACATGAGAGAGTTCATTTTTATTTTCATTTTAATCAAGTATCTTCTCAAAACTATCTTTAAGAATGCCTAAATTATATGTAATCAACGTAACTTGAACAAGAAGAGATATGGTAGTAATTTGACTCACCTAAGAGGGCCCAGCCAAATAATAAGAGTATCTCTGCTTGTTCAGGGTGGATCACATTTTATTGAAACTCCGATACTTGTTTAACAATTTCTAACCCTAAACGTGAATAATTCGTGTATTTTTTCAAATAATTTTGAGGAGGTACCAATATGAAATGAAAATTATATAACCTACATTTTGGGATGTTTGTCCCTCTTAATAAATTTTAAGGAGTTTTGACCCATTAAGTGATATTTTCTCTTTCATATTTTGTGAGAGGATATTTTGGTCATATTTATATACACCATGAGGATATGTAGTAAAGAGGATGTCTCGATTGATTTTAACATCCATCTGAATATACAGGACACTTGATCCTTAACTTTCACTTGGTAAGAATCAAATTTATTAGGGTGCAATCCATCGAATCAAATTTATTAGGGTACGATCTATCATATGTGGTAGTTGACTTATGTTGTAAAGTCAATTGGACAAACTTTTATCATCATCAAAACCTTATCTCAACTAATTAAGGTCGACTTGACATTCATACTCTTGTATTTTGAAAATCTTTCCCTTTCAAGTCTCGGATGTTGTACTGCCTATGTGATGGTATAATCCACAGGCCCGACATGGGAAAACATACAAGACGCCTGTAAAAGCCAATACACCTATGGGTTGTGTATTCTAAACTATTATATAAGTATGACCAATAATCCCTGAAAAGCAAGTTGCTCTGGCTTGACTTGATTACAAGGACTGTCTGACACTGGGAGCTCCTCTTTCTTTGCCATGGATGGAATACTGGAGATTGATAATGGTTACTCAGTGGAACCCGTTGAAAGAAACAGGTTGCGACGGTGTCGCTAATTTTCACTTCTCGATGAGCATAATTCATCATATGTTCTTTGGTCTGTTTCCATTTGAGAAATTAGGTGCCCCATCTTTGTCATTGACATGAGCCGAGAACATGATGCAATGCACCAATCTTTATGTGGGCCTGGCATATAATGTTGCACAATGTTGCACTATCTTATGCACCATTCAAACACACCCCAACAAAACACACCCTGACAAATGACTAGAGAGAGAGAGAGAGAGAGATTGATCCCTTAAAAGAGTCATGAGCGGCATTTTCTATATGAAAAGTGGTCATATTAGTGTGAATTCTCAGCATTTGAGTCCCATTAATAGGAGTGTTCAAAAAAATGAATATACACTACAATTTATATCAACCGAGCACAAACTGAGCAGTTGGGTTTTCACTTTAGAACAGCACCAAAAAATTAAAAAAAATGAGAACCCCAAAAAGTTTCCTCTCTTTCAGTTTAGATATGTGGGGTAAGTCATGGCCAATTTGTGAACTCAAGGACCTTGAACCCAATATCTATGCCCGTGGGTATCTGCGAGGCAAAGAGAATGAGATTTAGGGCATTGAGAGTAATGTGTAAGTTCCTTGCTGTTTCACTCCCTTTTTGCATTGGAGGTACAAGTGCAGCTGCCATTGCCCATAGCACCGTGATTGCTGCCAAAACACAAAGTGTCTTATTCTTATCTTTTACTGGTGTCTCAAACAAAACAACTGAGAAATTTGCAATGAAAAATTCAAAGATTGGAAGCTTTTGGAAACAGATTTTGATGTCAAGGGTCTGTTCTGTTGCAAAACAATGACAATGTCGATACTGATAGTTCTAATCGGTATCCATGGACTAAGGAAGTTCGATTCGACCATTTATTGGTTTTTAACAGATTTTAGGACAGCAATTTTGGGGCCAAATTTCGTATAAACGGACACGTTATAAAGATGAGATTGTAACAACTTGTGAAGCATTTATCATAAAAAAATGTTAGGAGTGTCAGATTGTAGACAACCTTGCTTAAATTTTAAGCAAGGGAATTTTGATCTGTAATTCGACCAACCCCACTTCTCTATGATTACTTGATTTGCACTTGCTGTAGGAATTAACTGTATGGATGCGCCTAGTGCATAAGGTTGTCAGCATTTGTTGCCCTAATTTTACATCTAAGGCTTGTCTGCTCAATCAAAATGAGAGAGAGAGAGAGGGCTCACACACCTGCTCCTGCAAACAAATGGGGACCTGGGAAAAGCTTCCCAGTCCTAAACCATGTGTTGAGGCACCCCCCTACTGATTCAAATACTCCGAATCCGAGAAGGATAGATCCTGCATTGTAGTGCCTCTCTCTGTAAGATCCTTTCAACAATTGCTTCCTCTCCTGATAATTCAAAATGAAATAAATGTATATTTAGGCAATGAACAGAAGAAAAGCCTTAGAATTGAAATCAAAACCACATATCCTCATTCTTTTGAGCGTTTCACAAAGGGTTGTTTAATTTTTATAAGAATGTTGGATATGGTGATATCCAAAATCACCCAATTAAGAAAATCCCATATTATGTGGGATTGGGATTGATATCGATAAGTTTCTAAAGAAAATAGAAGTCCAAAAAAATTAGGACTCTTGGGTATATCTATTCGTTTTTGAGATATATGTAACTTCTATAAGAAGTTTTCTATTCAATGTGGATTCCGAACATTATATATATAAAATGAAAGAGAAAAGAACATGTGTAGACCGGCAGATCATAGCCGTCAGGAGAGTAGGTCTAAAAGAGTTTGCACAGATTTTATGGAGGGTTCAAGAGGCAACTCTATGTCTCAAAATCTTTAATGTAACTTTCATTGGTACAATGGATTTCAGTTTATCATGACTGAATGTAGCCTTTTGGAGTCAACCACATAAATCTTTGTATGAAGTGTTTCATGCTTTATTTCTAGTGTTTTGGCTCATATTCTCAGCTATTTTATTTCTAGTTGGATAAGCACACATTCCTGATAGGATCCAATTTTCTAGGTTTTTTGTTTATGCATCTAAGAGGGTTCTTAAGACCTAACATTACATATAATTTTCTTCAAGAGCTTACTACACAAGCAGACTAGAGAACTTCTTAGCGAAAACCACGAGAAAGCTGAACTCAACCATATACCAATCCTTCATAAAATTAATGGGAAATTTATTAAAAAACACCCAAGAGATAAACTATTTATCACCTCAGCGTTTTATTTTATGGAAAAGTCGTTCATGAGTTAGTGAGTGCGAGAGCCCACTGACTTACCAACGTCCATCTTAAAACTTACAAGGCTTATACGGTGTAGAACTTTTTTCTCAAAAAAAATAAATTTTAAATACATAAATTTTATTTTATTTTCATGTTCATGATCATCTTAACCTAGATCGTGAATCCTTAAAATTTTAGTGCTAAAGATGTTCATGTCCTTCAACACTCAATCAAATTAATCATAGATAAAATTTGTTCCAAAAATCACCCCTACGAGAACCAATTTTTGAAAATCTCCTCAAAATTCTTCTCATCAACAAATTTAATAAAAACTGATTAGTCAATATGGTACTCTTAGTAGCTCAAGAAAAAGAAACCAATGGTGCTAAGTCTTTATTACCTCAGTAAGTTCCTGTATCTTGGTTTCAACAGGAGAAACAGTAAGAGTAGCAGTTGCTGTAGCCGCTCCTTGAGAGTCCTGTGGTGGGGACTTCACTTGTTTTTTGAGCTCATTGATCTCGTTTTGGGTGGTGCGCACTCTCCGCCACTGCCATCCTAAATAACCAGCCCATAGGCTATACACAAAGAGGGAGCCCATCACAATTGGGTGGACCAGAGACACGGTTCGACCTTCGAGTAACCCGAATTCACCATTGATTGCAAGTGCATCCTACAAAGAAGTAGTCATTGAAAAAGTAAGAGATATTCGAAATTCTAAGGGAACCTTGCCATGGCCAGTCCCAAACCAATCATGCTAGTTCCAAGCCCAAATAAAGGAGGCCTGTGTTAATTAAAGCCAGTGTAGAACTTTGCCACTTCTTTTTCACAGCCGACCTCAATAGTTGAGATAATGCTCAGATGATGGTTTGAAATTCGAAAGGGAATGATGGACATTTTCACAATTGGGGGCGCGGAATGAGAAAAGACAAATGAATGGCAAGAAAAGCGGCATTAGTACCAGTAAGCAGTAAAGGAGACTGACCTCAGGAACTAGGAAGAAAGGCAAAGAGACAGAGAGCAAAGGAACAGGTGTTCTCTTGCAATGCTGAATGGTATTGTTGAAACTCTGAGCCAGATCTCTCTGGTTAATTGGGTGTTCAAGAAATTTGGCCAAAGATCTTGTTGTTAGAGAGGTGGGTTTTGTGAAGTTCGATTTGGGGAAGATTTTGGACACAATTTGGGGAAGATTTTGAAGGGGTTTGCCAAATTTGGAGGGCAGGCTCATTGTGACAGGGGTGATGGTTGCCATGTCTCAGACCGGGCAGAAGAGAGTGAGAGAGAGAAAGAGAAAGAGACGCGAAGAGAGAGAAAGAGAAGGATAAGAGACTTCCAGGGCCCTTCCTTTTATTTGTTGGTCTGTGATTGCCTTCAATTTTGAAACAATCGTGGGCCAACCAATTCCATGGAAATATTACTGTATTGCTCTCACTTTTTCATTGTTTAACTTTTCGGCAGATCAGATTCCAAAGACTACCCCTCGTATATACGAAAATTATAGAGGGCCTCAATTTGTAATTTATAGGCATCTGTTTTTTTAAAAGTTCTCTTATGGTAAAACCTTTATATAAGTCTGCAACCTTATACTCTTGGAAAAGTGTTTCCACCTTAACATTAAGGGAAATGTTTATAGAAACTTTCGCTCTAAACAATCAAATTTAAGTCCATTTCAAAAATTTCACCAAAAAACAATTTTTTGATGTTCAAATATCCTCAAATTGATCATCTCGACATCAAGATACAGGGTCACGAGAAAAAAATGGATTTCAAAAAAAATAGTCCAAAAAAAATAGTGCATCTTAATACAAGTTATATATATATATAGATAGATTGCTAGTCCAAAAAAATAGTACATCTTATTACAAGTTATCTAGACGGTTTATTTTCAAATGTTTCTTACATCATATTTTAAATTTTAAATTTGATAATTGATGATAAGAAGATATTTTAAAACCGAAACGACATATCTAAATAAAATTTATAGATGCACCTTATTCCTAGCATATAAAGAGGCAACTTTGTACAAACCTCACCCTTTTTTCAATTACTTTTGGTACTAACCATATTGTTGACCCCAACTTTTCTCCGTTATTTGAACCTATGAATTCCAAAACATGACTCACCCAACATGTGTTAGTCCAACATAAAAATGTGTCTGTCCATTGTAAAAATGTGTCGACAAGCCCCTTCGATATAAAAAAAAGTATCAGAACAAGTTGAATGTAGTACTGGTCCAGTACAAAAAATGCGTCATACCTGCTCTACATAGGTTTTTACCGCTGCGAGTTTAAGAGAGAAGTAAACACCCAAAAATTTGATGTCAAAATATTTTGTAAATAAAATAGTGTAGAGGCCATCTCAGACATCCATTCAAAATTTGATGGTTGGATGAGGAGAAGTACATATGTTTTATATAGGGGCAGCATATAAAGTTTGCCTTGGGTTTAATAGTGGGGCATGGGGACATGCCAAGAAAGTATAAATTGGCAGTTCTATAATTTTTGAACAATGATCCAATGCAACGGTTGTATCATAGTATAATGCAATGATACTTCTAAAAAATCATGTCTGTAATATTTGTATGACCCCAAATTTTGCACACACACTCTCTCCATCTCAATAATCAATCCCCTAAAAACAAATTTCAATTTGAACCCTTGGTCAAAATGAGTCACTTCCAAAAACGAATCTAGACCATTTATTTTGTGAATTTCAAGATTTTAGCCTTTATAAACTCAAAATCATTTTTTTTTTTTTAACATTGTTCAAATGATAATAAAACCATCCAAAAAAATCGGAAATGAAAAAATCCTCCTAAAACTTAGATCTAAACAGTTCACCGAAATGAACAACTTATGTTAATTGAGCTAAAAAACATACTTTCTAGATTGTGTTTTCAATTGTTATTATTGTATGATTGTTCATTATATTGAAAAAAGTATATATTTCAAAATTTGGATCAAACAAATAGCCATAAGATGGTTTTTTAAGGTTGTTGTATCATATTACTATACAACGATTGCATAAAATCATTGCCTATAATATTTTTTATTTTTCTATAAATCTATGAAATGAAGGCCTCACTAGACAAATAAAATAAAATAAAAAGAAAACTCAAAACGCTGTGTACCGTTTTATGTAAAATTAGCCAAGTTCTGCTCTCTTCAGAGAGAGAGAGAGAGATTGGACCATAAAAAGAGCCAGTATAATTGCATTTGAAGCAAATAAAGTTCTAAACAAACCCTAGACCTTATGGTAATGAGGCAGGCCACTTGTTGTAAACAAACCCTAGACCTTATGGTAATGAGGCAGGCCACTTGTTGTGCCTCACCTTACAATGTGTTGAGATTGACAAAATATTGTATTTGTTCCACAAGCATTCCCAAAAATACAAAATGCAAAACTCTTGATCCATGGACTCAGACAATCCTAGCATTACTTCATGGCTGAAAGGCCTAAGCTTCCGTAGGCCACTTTGTTGATACCATGTACACCAGTCATTCTTTTTACTATACCCAAAATTCTTAACCTGATGATGGCATGATTGCCATTAGAAGCCTGTATCCTCAGCTACCTAGGTCTCGCCTCTTGTAACTGAACCACGGTATCCTTCCCCCATCCATCTAATAAATAATACATCCATGAATGCCTACATTTATGCATCCTCTAGAATCTTTGGTCTTTAAAGTATGGCCCAACATTTTATTTCAGCTGAATTTATGATTCAAATCCAAAACTTAATGTTGTGAATCACATAAACTTAATGGTAGGCAAAAATCTCATACACATTGGGGGCTGTACCTTGGCCAAGGCCAATATGGATGAAGGCAATATCCAGAGCCCCTCTCCGCATATCAAACCCGAGGCGACAGCAGGTACCATCAGCTCAGCCCTTTTCTCATCAATTTTCCTCCAAACAAAAACAATCAAAGTCCCAACACACATATCGATCGTAAAATAAGCCCCCACCAAGAAAGGCACGGCCATAGCCATAGGTAGTGGTACCCAACTCCCGAACCTCTCAGGCACCAAATCCTTGACCAAATTCACCAACATTGCGAATGCAAAAAACCCGTAACATAGTTGCAAGCAGTGCAAAGGCAAAGCCGAGAAGCCCTCTACACCTAATATGGCCATATTGCGATATATAAGCGCATAAGGTGCCTTAAACTCCCCATCAGGGTTCCCAATATCAAACGCCTTGTAGAACAACCAAAAGCTCAAGGGAGCCGTTACACATCCAATTGCGGTTCCAATTGCTTGGCTCATGACCATAGACCTAGGTGAAGTCAGGGTTAAATGTGCTGACTTAAAGTCTTGCATAAGGTCAGCTGAGATGGACACAATCGATTTTACGAGCCCACACCCAACAAGACCAGCCACCACCCCACCACCTGAACTACCAGACCAAGCTGCCAAAACAAAGAGGGCCACTTTGCCATAGTTGTAGGCCATGTTCATATCGGTGAGCCCCGCTCCATATGCATTGCAAAAGCCCAAGGCCGGGGCAAATATATAGGCAGTGAGGACATAGTACCATCGCATTTCGGGGAACATGCGTGGGATTGACAGGATCGATACGAGGGAGAAGAGGGTGTAGCCAGAGCAAGCTACCCACATGGGGATGCGATCACGAACGAATGCCTCATCATGGTGGAGCTTGTCACAGGCTAGGAGATGTCCGTCTGTCACTGGGGCCCTTCCTTGGGAAGAGATGGACAGGTTTGCTTCTGCATTTGAAAGAGGATATGGGTGTTTTCTTTAGATTTAAAACTTATACAAAAAATGTAACAAATGACTATAGGAAAAAACTCAGCTATAGAAAAGAGAAGTTTTTTGTAAGTAAAATTTGACAAATATATGGATTATGATTTTCTTTTTTCCTTTATTCTTTATATTTCCTTTTGCATTTTCTCAAGATTTTTTTCATGTTTTCTCAAGATTTTTTGGAGTATTTCCTGGAACGAAAATAAAATCTCTCAAGAAATTACCTGATTGAGAGTTTTACAAGAACAAATCAAAGGCTGGAAGAGTGTGCCTTTAATTGAACAACAGAGTACTACATCCGAGAAGCCCAAAATTCAGAACTCAAAAAATATTTGAGAGCAGGATGATTATAAGGGCCAAAGAGAAGTTTTAGACCACTCCAAATTCTGGTGCCATAAAATCAGCTCTTATAATGGAAAGAATTCAATAATTACCAAATAAAATAATTGCAAAAGAATTATAAGCTATTAGAAGAAATTTATGAATTCGTATTTCGATTACCCTTTCAAGAAAATGTGACATTTATAAATCCAATCGATCACCCTTTCAAGAAAATTTGACATTTATAAATCCAATAACTGAGAAAATAAATATCCAACATCAAGAATTTTTTTTATCGACGTCCAGTATAAAAGAGCCAGTATGGCATTTGGATTTCGATCACCCTTTCAAGATAATGTGACATTTAAAAATCCGATCGGTCATCCTTTCAAGAAAATGTGATATTTAAAAATCCAATAACTGAGAAAATAAATATCTACATCAAATAATTTTTTTTATCGACGACCAGTTTAAGAGAGCCAGTATGTCGATTTCCTTTCATGCAAATTGCCAATATGCAGATTCAGTACCAGCCTAATGCCAAAATTTTCCATACAAAAACTTGAAGAAAAGCAGAAATCAAGATAAGGGCTTCATCATTTTCCCTCCGACCTGTATTGATGTTTTTGTGTTTCATTTGAGCTTGGAAGTTTCTAATAGTGAAAGCCATGACCTTCGCAAAATTGTACAGCCCATCTCCTAGGATCAGAGCAATGGTGACAAATACCTACAAATTTGAAAAATGTGGAATCAGTTCTTAAAACTTAGAAAGTTTCATTAGATGATGGAATCAAATTCCCTGCATTTTACAGGGTTAACATAAGTTACTCTTACTTTGAGAGAGAGTAGAAGTTTCATTAGATGATGGAATCTAATTTTATTCATTTTACAGGGATTAACTGTAAGTTACTCTTACTTTGAGAGAGACAGAGAGAGAGAATTGGTGCATGGACCTTGTAACCTTGAAGGCTTTTCATGCTGCTCTCTGGTAACTTTTCAGAGTACCAAACCCCCTTCTGTTCTCTGATGAGAGGCCACACTATACCCCAAGATATCACTGAGCCAAGAAGTAGAGAGAGATTCACCAAATGGGAACATATCATCCCAGCCCCTATATATGTCATGCTGAAATCGAAGTAAAACCTGCAATCCAAATTTCCCAAAAAGCCATGAATAGCTATCAATGATGTAAGAAGCTAAACAGTAAACCGATTTTTATGTACAAATTGAGCTACCAAAAAAAAAAAAGAAAAATTAAATAAGTCCAAAAAAATATAGAATACTATAGGATTGTTATATAAAATGTTTCTATATAATTTAGATCTTTATTGGCAAAGAGTGGTCAGTTTTTTTTCTTTTTTCTATATTCCCTGTTTTTTTCTTTCCTTGTTTTTGGATTCTTTTAAAATGTCCTGGACTATAAATCAATTTCTTTAAATCCTTTTCCATATTTTTTAATGCTGATTTGTATTTTTTAGGTTGTTTTGGTTTTATTTAACCTTTAGTACTCTTACTTTATTTTTAACATTTTATATATTGTTTTTTAAAAAAAAATTTCAAGGGCTTTTGACCCTGCACAGTACTCATGTGAGTCCAATCTGCCCGAGCCGAGTTTCGAAACTACAAACAGAAGCTTACGTTTGCTTCCAAGCCTTCAAACCAAACGTGGGAAACTGAGAAAACCCACATCCATCCCCTCCAGAGTAAAACCACTGAAAAAAGCCCCACAAGAAACTGACTGTGAAGAATTTTGCAAATCCTTGGACCTGCTTTCTGCAAATCCAAACACAAATCATCATCAAAAATAAAAGTAAAATGAATAAGAGCTTAAGGCTGATGGAAAAAAATTCAATATCTAGAGTTAATTCTTGAGTCTATACATGGAAAGAAAGAAAGGGAAGTTTTACAAAGATTATTGAACCATACTTAGCCATTTTATCTCCCTGAGGTGTGTGGAAACCATTGATGAGAACAGCCGTTGCAGTGCCAGATGGATATGTCAATTTGTAATCTATAATCATAATCTACATAACAATAAAGGACACTGTAATAAGAAACAAAGGAAGCCTCCTAAAAGGAAACAAGAGAGAGAGAGATCCCCATAAATTGAGAAAATGGAGATTTGGAAACAGTACCTTTCTGAGAGGAACCAGAGCCAAGAGCCCAACAAAACAAACAATGAAAAGAAAACCAGTCATCCAAGCGATCCCCGGCTCTTTGTAGCTTCCAGGGGTGTTCCCTTCGGTATCGACTCCAGCGCGTTCATACGTCTTCTTATTTAATCCCAAAAGGTAGGATCCAAATCCCCCTGTTTATACCAAAAATTAAGTGATACAGGACAACATCAACTGATAAATAGTTGCAGATGATAAAACTGAAATCCCTTTCTAATCTCAAAGACCGCAATTACAAATAGAAATTCTAACCCAATTTCCATATACATTGAAGTTCAATCACTGAATATATATCTTGATAAAATTGAAATCCCTTTCTAATTACAAACAGAAATTTTAACCCAATTTCTATATGAATTGAAGTTCAATCACTTAATATTTATCTTCATAGCATGCCCCAAAACAAACCCAAAATTAGGATCAATCCTCAAAAAAGATCCAACCAAAAAGGAATGGTTTAAAATGGAAACAAGCCGACCCAAAATCAATCCCACACCTATAAACTTTGCAAAAAGAAAGAACAAATAATGTAATTCCAAGAGTCCAAATAGAAAAGACATGCAAAAACTTGAATTCAACGTCCAAGAAGATTAATGAAGAAAGACCTAGAATCACTTACTTACCCCCATAACAGAGAAATGCAATCAAAGATTAGAGAGAGAGAGAGAGAGAAAGAGAGAGGCACCTCCAACAGCAATACTGTAACAAGCAACAGCACAAGTCTGAACAACACAGTTCTCCTGTCTTGTGAAGGGAGCAGAGACCACCCCTGCTTTGTGAAGGAGCTTTGTCCAACTTTTCAAGAACACGAAAGCAAGCAAAGCCGCCGAGATGTTGAGCGAGGGGACAAGACCAGTGGTGAGGTTGAGCTTCATAACAATCATGCTGTACATAACTCCAATGATGATGCTCGCGACCAGTCCCCTCGCAGTGATCTGCTTAGTCCATGGTGGTATCTTTCTACACTCTTGCTCCTGCACCTGCAACTCTTCCTCAACGTCCATGGCAGCAAGGTCTGTTGATCCCATTCTTGCTCTAACCCTGAATGGATTCTTCATTCACCACAGAGGTGAATAATTCATGGGTTTTTATTAGTAGTAAGAACTGTGTTTACATTTGTCGTGTGCTTTGTACTACTGATAATTTACTGGTTTTGACGGTAGTACAGGCCGTGTAGTACAAGTGGGTGCGCTTAAAATAGGAGCTGTTCTTCATTTTAATGGCATCCACTCTTTCTCACTCTTAAAACTTTGCCATGGCATAAAAGTCGCCATTTTGAAGGCCTTTACAGGTGTTCCGTTCTAGAAGCAATAAAAAAGACTTCTCTCTCTATGTATGGGCAAAGCACCCCCTTTCTCTCTCTAACTCTCTTTCTCTCACTAAAAGTTTGCGACTTTCTCAGGTCGGAAAGCACTCCTCTCTCTAGATTTGTGCAAAGTCCTCCCCCTCGCTCTGAAGTAAGATAGAATAAGGAAAAAGATTATATGGATCCGAGGCTCTAAACAATCAAATTAGAGCCGACCTCAAAAATTTTAGTTGTTTTGATGCTTAAAAATCTGATCGGCTTTATGTATGGACATGAGAAAAAATAGATTTTAAACTTTGAAAATAGCGTATTTTTAGACTGTCAATTGTCGAGATTTTTAACTTTTTATAGATTTGCTCGATCTATACTATGTTTTAAATTTTAAATTTTAAATTTTAAATTTTATAATTAAAGATGAAAATATATTTTAAAACTATCACAAAGATTTTTCATATTTAAAACATATTTTTGGACACTATTTGAAAGTGCACTCTACTAGTAGATTGTTTAGATCCTCGGCTCTATACAAACCGCACCCATAGGATAATGCAGGTGGACCAAACTTTTTCTACCGCACATGTTCTCTCACTCGCCTTTGATTAGCTTCCACTGACTTCTACTTCCATGTCTTTTTTAGGGTTCCAATATGCGAGATGGATGTTTGTTAGGTTTTTAGGGTTCCAATATGTGAGATGGATGTTTGTTAGGTGGGTCATCCAGAATAAAGGAGGAATTGGTGTCACTTGAAAAGTTATGCCATCTCTTTTTAATAAATAATGTGTTTTAAGACTACGGATGTTCGATTCGAATCGCGGTTTGGAATGGGAATATGTTGGATTGAAATCGGTGATTTAAAAAACGGATTGATGACCTAGATCAAGCATCGCAAAAACTGGCTAGATCAGTGAATCAGTGGTCTGGATTGTCATTTTATTGTGCAGAAAAAATAGTGAACTAACGAAAAAACACGTGCAAAAATAGTAAATCGGCCAAAACCCAGCCTGGATCGGTTAATCGATGTTTTTATCATAGCAAAAAACTATTTTTACTGTAGCAAAATACCATTTTACCGCAGCAAAACGCCAGTTCTTTTCTAGACCTGGACAATTTCCTATATATTGACAAAATCGGCACGAGGTGACCGATTCTCAAGTCAGAGCGGGCGATTCCGTATCAACCCAATAGTTTTTAAATCATCGATCGAAACGATTATGAGATGGCATGGTTTGTTCCCTCTAAAACCTATATATATATATATATATATATATAAGAA